ACTAGTCATATATTATAGAGATAACAAAAAAATTAGTTACCAGAAATTATTATCAGAAATATAAAACACTTCTTAATATTACAATATCGTAAATAATTAGATACTATATAGAACTATATAAAATTCAACTATATAAAATTTTATATATTTTGTCAATGGTAAAATCAACGAAATGCAGTACATTTTATGAAGTATATATATTCTTTTGCATAAAAGCTAATTTTCCGTATCAAATGACGAATCAAATTCAGCTATGGATAGATATTTTATCCGAAGATAAAAAAAATTCCATCAAAGATTGTTAGAACTACAAATAGTCATACAAATTCTAACGATTGTTTTGTTTCTAAGATTGCACATAAAATATTGCGGTATAACGAAGCGTAAGCGGTATAGACCAATTTTTCAAGAAATATAAAATTGTACTGATTCCATAAATTAAATTACGGTTAATAATATTCGTAAATAAGTTGGCAAAAAACATATCAATATATAATTATAAATAATATTAATTAAAATCTAGTATTTCAAACAGTAAGCAGCATATATTCTAGTCGGTCTGTTCAAATGTTTAACTATCTACATAAACTTGAGTTGAATTAGTTTGAATTCTAAATTGGCAAGATATTTGTACTAGGATTCAGAAAAACTGGATTTTTACACTTCTATCAAAAACACGCTACCATCCACATCAACACATTCACTCTATTCTATTAATAACTTATCCCTTTCTTTCTGGAGTTGCAATATTAATTTTGTTTCTTACCTGACCATACGATGTTTGTGTTTTGAAACATTTTAATGATTCTGATTCTTAATTATCTTCTTTTTATGCAGTATGTCTAATACGAATTATATTGTTGATTTACAATTCCATTTATTTTATTATAAATTTGCAAGTACATAGGATTCAGTATTGAGTTTAACCTATTAGTCATAATAAAAATGCATATAAAGTTTGATAATATATAATAAAATACTAAAGATAAATTTAATTGTTGCCAAAATAGTGATAGTACTAGTTAAGTACGCTTTCCGACAACAAAAAATCTGCAAGCTCAATTATTAATTGAATTGAATTGCTAGTGTAGTTCTAATTATATGATAATATTTTTTAATTATGCGTTTTATTTTCCATATTACACATATAAAGGTGTACATATGTATATATATATGTATAGTAGTATATTACCACATCTGGTTCTAACAACTGCTTTGGAAGTTTTTATATATACATTTTGTTAATTGTTAAAAAGGTGAACGTGATCAGTCATACAGAACTATAAAAATATTGAAAAAATGATAACTAATGTAAATATTAGTTGCTGTAGAAAGTTTTTGTTTTTTTTAAGCAAAATTTATTGCTCCATCGTAGATACATACATACATATATCAAAAAACTGTCTTAGCTACAAGTAATAAGTATTATTATGTACGTAATTGTATAGTGCATAAAATAATTAGAATTATTTATTTATAATAAAAATAAAAAATTTCAAATTTGCTTTAAACAAAATATTTTGCGTTGTTTTCTTCAACATTTTCGGATTAACAGCAAATTTATTTTTTTAAACTAAACTAAAATAAACAGAAATACAAAATTATACTTTCTCCGTCTGTATCCAGGTTAACGTTCAATTATATTCCACCCATCCAATCCTCTTTCCCCCTCCATCACATTCAATCAATACCCACTCTATCTGCTTACAGGTCCTAGCGGGTTGCAATAACAACAAAATTTTATATCAAAGGAATAGTTTGTCATATATATTGTTTTTTTATATTTAATGTGGTTTCGATAGTTGTTTACAAACATTCTTAAAAATATGATTACATTTTAAAATGGTATAAATTTGTCCGATTATTTTGAAACACTCTACTACTGTGTGCTTACTATAAATGTGTATAAATGAATTGAAATAATACATGAGTTTTTGCCTTTTTATCAAAAATTGCAATATAAAATAATTAAGTTTATAGAAACTATTAACACAATTTGTATATTTATTATAAATATTTATCATGCAGTTTAAAGTCTTTAAATTTCGAGTTCATCATTTTAACAAAAAGGATTCTTAATAGTTCCATCTTTACCATCAAAAGTAATGGAATCATAATAAAAACGTCTGTTAACACGACATTGAATACCGCACTTTGTAGATCTGCAGTTTTCACACGGAAACCAACATCCTGGACAGTTAGTAGTCATACAATCGCATAAACTTAAACCATTGTGACGAATAACACCATGTTCATCATAAATCGTTTTGGATTTTGAAGGTACATCATTTTTACGTTTCAGTTTTCGTTTATCCCGATTTTTGTCATCAATGTCGTCCAAATATTTGTATTCATCATGTTTCTCTCGTAGTTTCCGTTCAGCATGGAGTTTTCGTGGGCGTTCTCTTAAGGACATTCGCAATGGTCCAATACCCTCGCCCAAGTCGTCGTCTTTATCCATTACTGTTGCTAGTTTATTACTTTTTAAATTTGTTAATAGTTAAAACCAATTGATACGATTTTTCGCGAATTTCCAGAATTGACATTTAACTACGTTGCCAGATTACTTCACATATTTTCAAATGGGCTTGCCACAGCATATCACGCATGACTTACGTAACGTAGCTGATAGTATATTTAATAAAAATAATTATTTAATAAGATTATTGAACGGATTATTTGGTTCTTTTAAAGGACAAATAATTTTTGAATTCTTATATATTTATGTTTTCTTCATTGTAATATATCGAAATTATATTTTCGATCTTTACTGTTCCGTTTAGTCATTAACAATACTAATGTGAAATAGAAAATGCCAAAAAAAATTTGATGCTTGTTTTGGTTTCACCTCCTTTTTAACAGTAGCCGTAATTTTTTCATTAAGAGTAGAAAAAAAATAGTCGCAACTTATGAAAGAAAATATGTGAAGCAACAACAATGCTCTCAAAATCTTCAGTTTGGTTTTAATCGCAAAAATTGTCACGTCTTAAGTTTTAGTACAGCCAAATTCAATAATCAGTCTATTCTTAATATTGCAAAATTCCAGCCACCCGTTAAAACCATATGAACATTTCATTTATAATTAAATTCAAATACTAAAAAAATAAATTAATTTAAATATATAAAATAAAAATGCTAACCATTGTCCTTCAATACTCATTTTCTTTTCTTTTATTTAATATAATTAATTTTTAGTGTTTTAAATGTTTATATTTTATATTGAATTTAAATTTAAAGAATTTAAATTATTTTAAAAGTGATGCCAATTTGTTTCAACCAATTTTAGTGTTTTTTTTACAACTCTGAAAGAAAAAATTACGGCTAGTAATAAAGAATGCATTAAACTGTGCGAAAAGTGTTATAAAAATTTATTTGATTGTCGTGTTTAGCGATATTTGGTGATTCCGAATTTAAAAGAATACGAACTTTGACGATTTAGCGTTTTATCCGGAGCAATCAGCTGTTTTTGAAAATAGAAAATTAGCGTAAAGAATTTCTTA